TTGACTTAGAGGGCAACTCCTGATGAGGATTAGCACTGGCTTCTGTGGTTATAACTGAATTAGTGGTGTCTCCTTGACCCACCTTCCTCCACTGCTCCCCAGCCCAGTGACCAGCCCAAAGGACAGGATGGATGTCTCAGCTGTATTTCCAACCAGGACCTTAGAGCCTGTCATCACTGCTGTCCAACCACGTGCTGGTACCACATGCATTCCAGACACCACCAACTCACTTCACTCACTTGCTGGTCTGATTGGTTGCATCTCTCTGAGTCCCAGTAGGTTTTGAGAAGCCCAAATCCATGTTCCTTGCACAGGACCCCAGTAAAACCCATGGCTTACACTAAAACAGAGACACTACTCCAAACCTCGGGGGAGAGGAGGTGTCTCCATGCACTGAGAGACACTGCTAAATTCCTTCTTTCTTCTGCATCCTCTCCAGCCCGGTGGGACCTGCCAGCCACAGGTGGTGGCTCCAACACTGCTCTGTGGGAGCTGCACAGAGACAACCAGCACTGCCAGCCAGCCCAGCTGAACCACAGAGCTGCGGTACAGGAGAGCCAGGAAGGTGCCATGAGTTGGAAGACAAGCTCAGCAACTGAGCTTTTTGAGGCATCCTCCTCCTCTCCCATGGGAAAGTGATGCCCAGCCCTTGCCAATCCCTCTGTGAAGCTTCCTGCTGGAAGTTTCTGGCACTGGGAATGGTTGCCAGCTCAGGATTAGCAGCCTGTTGATTTAAAGGGCTTATTACAAGAGCTTAATTCTATTTTGACAGATGAAAGTAAGTCAATTACAACTAGAAATAGCTCAGAATTTGGATTGTGGGGTTTTTTTCCTTCCTGTCTTCCCCTTCTGTGAGTTGTGGTATCATTTCCTTCCCTTTCTTTACCTCAAAGCCAGAGATTTCTGTGAGATGCCTGTCTGGCCCAGGAAAGCCTCTAACTTGGGGCAGATGTGGTTCTTGCCCACTATTGCTGCCTGTGGCACCAGAGCTTCCATTCCTCCCAGCCTGCCCAGGCTCCATAGATTTGCTCCTGCAGGAAATTACTCCAAAACCTGTGCCCTGCCCCCCCTGGCACTGACAGACAACACCCAGCATGGACCAACTGATCAGGAGAGCTCAGGCTCAGAGGTATGGGGAGAGAAATGCACAAAGCAATCAAGAAACATTAATGCTGAGGCTTAGAAGTAGGAGCACCAGTACACAAGGAAATTCCCACCCTGTGAGACTAACAGGGTCTGGTCAGGATCAGAAAACAACTACTGCCATAAGTCATCTCCAACAAAAGTCACTGCCTGCCTTAACTCCCTAAATGCCTAATGCAACATGACTCTCCCTAGAGAAATAAAGCACAAAAGAAAGAGCCTATCCCATTCCCAAGTCATTTACATGGAATTCTCAACCCTGGGGCTCTCTTTCTTTTATAACCTCCCCATCCCCACCATGCCTGTTTCTCCAACACACCTGGAGATGCAAGGAGAAAGCAGAAAGACTTCTTCCTTCCCTCCCAGTAAGACCATTCACTACCACCTGGCCCTATTGAGCAGGACCAAACCACAGCACTGCCCTCCCATCCAGGCTACCACAAACTCCCTGACCTGAGGACCTGTGTGAGACTTGCACATGTCACTCAAGCACAAAGTGACAAATCCCTCTGCTAGGTCAGGACACACGCATTTCTCCAAAGAAGACCCTAACCATAGGCTGGGGAGTTATGGTGACACCCCAGGAAAGCAATGAAAGTCTGAGGTTTGTTCTATTGCTAAGAGCCCTCACACTCAAAGAGCAGAGTGCTTGCAAAGTGGTCTCCAGTTCTCATCTAGGGACCATCCACCACCTGTAGAGTCCTCCTCATGGTCTGCAGAAAGAAACTGCTTGCACTGTTTGCCTCCAGCACACACCCATCAATCCCTCTCCAGCTCAGGAAGCTCATGAAATCCTGGCTCGGAGCACAGCAGAAAGTCTCACCCTCGCACAGCGTGCAGGAGGCGCAGCGAGGGGTAGGCAGTCCTGACGTTGATGTGATGCTTCAGGATGAGCTCGTTCACCCACTCCACTCGCTCCTTGCCCCCCTTGGCCATGAACGCCGGGATCCAGAGGATGCTGCCGTTGAGGCTGTGGAGACGTTGCAGCAGCTTCTCCCTCCAAGTCTCATTGACCAGGTCCTCGAAGGCGCGTTGGATGACTGAGGGGTTCATAGTCACCAGGTCTGTCTTCATGCCCACATCCTGTGAGTACTCCTGGACAGGGGCCAGATTGCACCTGTGAGGAGAAACACCTAACAGCCCCTGGCAATGGACTGAGACACAGCAGTGACAAGCACGAGGGGTGTGTGATGCAAAAAGCCAGGGCCAGTGACAGATGGGCCTGTTTGCCCTTGCTTTTGGGAGGGAGAGGAGAGAGAATGAGTAGAGAATGAGTGTCTGCAATAAATTATTAATGATGAGCCATCTTAATACCAGGCCATCATCCCTCAGCGTGATGGTGCGTGCATGCATATCCCTCTGGGACAATGCTAATAACAGCCATAACTTTGGTGTCTGGTGAGTAGTTTGTATGGACTGGTGGCTCTTCTGGTGCTATTCAAAAATAACATTATAGGAACAAACCTCCCATCTTGGCTCCCACAACAGATTTGAAATGAAACAGCCTCTCCCATGCAAGAAAAGCACTTGGCTCTTAATTCCAGTCCTGCTGGAGTAACATTATCCCAAGTCCCTTTTCTCCTCCTGGTGAGACTCCATGAACAGCAGACCCGGTGGCACCAGTGGCAATACTGACACCAGTGGGAGGTGGATGCCAGGACATGCTCTCCACAGGGTCTGGCTGTCTGGAGGCTGTGACCTTTAAAAACCACCTCTTTCTGTAGGGTTAATTGGTGCCTCCTTTCAGGCTGTGCACACAGACACAGGCCACGTGCCACAAGCTCCTGTGTCACACCAGGGATGAGGGCTGAAGGATATACTGCTAACAAACCACCCTTATTATACAGTGGTTTCCTACAGCTCCCTGAGAGGGAATCTCTGGCTGTTAAGCCACAGTCATACCATGCACATGGCATTGGTCAAACAGCACCAGGGACCAACTGATGGGGGATGCAGAGATTTGCTCCCCCAGCACATGCACCCCTGTGTTTGCACACTGCATCCCCTCCTGTGGTGTTTGACAGTGAAGTTACATTATTTAACGAGCAGGAATTGCATCCTAACCATCTGCTTTGATAATAAGCCATTACTATTGTTTTCACTACTTTACAGACGGGGAAACTAAGAGAATGGTGAAAAGAAAACTCAGCTACTGGCACACAGGGCCCTACTCACTGCAGGAGTAAAATCACTGAAAATAAATATTGGAACTGTAGCCTGGACACAGAGCCCATCGCTGGTCACTGCCAACCCTGCTGAAAAGGCTGCCTGGATGGAGCAAACTTTCCTCTGGAAGATGCAGATTCCAGGGATGGCTCAGATAACCTATGGTAGGAAGACCATACCTGTGCCAGACCTGCACTAGCACGTGGCTGGGGAGAAGTCGCTCAAAATCCCAATCCTGACATCCAGAAAAGCTTTTTTCCTTCATCATTGCTGCCTGACATGAAAACCACTCCTTAAACTTTGCCAGAACTGCTAAGCAGTTTTTCCCTTTGCTCACTCAGGTTACACTTAACGATAATGCCCCGTTCCCTGCGGACAGGATGGAGCTGCTAGCAGCCAGAAAGGCTGGAGCAGCCAGGTTAGAACAGGGAGCAGAGGTGACATTATCCTCGTTTCCACGTCACACCGGCATCGCCTCTGTGAGCTGCTGACGGATTGTCCTGTCTTTGTAATAGACTCACCAGAAAACAAATGTCTGCACATACATAAATCATCAGTGGACTCCAACAGCCCCTCAGCTAACAGCTGTGCAGGGGTGTCGGGGGTGGAAGGGCAGGAGCTCCTCCTCTCCACTTCAAGCATCTTCTGTAGTGAATTTGGTGTGTCTTAGTGGGGGTCAGGAAGTGTTGCTGCAAGTCCCTGGGGCAGTGCATCTGCAGGGACATCAGTGCTGGGGATGGAGTGGTCATGGGGGAGTGTCAAACCTGGGCAGGCACACCCTGTGCTCTAGGAAAGAAGTGATTTGGGGAAAAACTGAGCTTGTGTCCATGGAACAGCTTGTGTCCAGGACAGAATTTGTTGCCAGAAGGCAAGCAAGTGGGAGAAGAGGAGAGAGCACTTGGGACTCAGAGTGAATGGTGCCCTGGTGGGGCTAATGGTGCACGGTGAGAACACACAGGGTGTATTTGCAAGGACAAATTCTGGGAGGACACAAAGTGAGGAGCACTTGGAGGTGGGTGGAAGAATTTGCAGCAGGACATTTACATCAGTGAACTCCACACATGCACACAAGGCTGCAAGGCTGCACTGCTCCATGCAATCAGGACTCCAACCCCTTCCACTGCTCCAAACCCCCCTGAAGCCTCCTCAGCCCCCCCATGTCACAGGGCACAGTCCCCTACCTTATGACGAAGCTGTGTGCGTCGATCTCAGGGCCACAGCCACTGCTGAGCAGGACCCCTGAGTTGCCCACAATGGCACAGGTGGGGAACTGTTTGCCCTTGAGGGGAGATGTGCGGGGCAGCAGCTCGTACAGGTTCTGTGACACGTTCATGGTGCTGTCCCTGTCAAAGACGTAGTGGATGATGTCCCCTGGCTTCAGCGTCCCCTTCAGCACTGAAATGTCCTTCTCTGCATCCAGGAACTTCAAGATCTGTTTCCTGAGGTTAGGGGAGAAAACAGCACCATCAGGTGAGGTACAGAGATAACTTGGGTCACACATGAGCTCTTGCCTCCTGACTACCCTCACCCTCTGGTCCACCTGACTGACACTCTCCAGGAACAGCTTGTAAATGGGTATCTCCATCTTAACATCTGCTCCCTCTCCACCCATCCCTGCCTAGGGCAGGCTAGCATGGGCAGCCCACCACTTGTGGGGTCCCTGAATTTACCCCAGGAAGAGGGTCTTCTTCTCCCCTTTGTGACCCATCACCCACACACACTAATTCCACCTGGCCTGGAAAACAGGGGCTCAAGTGCTCCTTGTTTCATCGCTGCCAGGCCAGCTGGGTCAGCTGGGAATTCACTTCCAAGCGATCGCTTACAGATATGAAGCCTAGCTCAGCAGGAGATAAGTCTTTTTATTTCTTCCTCGACTTCTTTAGATGATATACAGAGGCAATTTGCCAGCTTGCACTGGAGAGGACCAAATCTGTCTCTTGTCCTATAGGTAATTACCAGTACCTGATCTTCAAAGAGAGTGTCTGGTTGTGTCTCCATTTGGATGAGGCTGGTTTAATGTTGTGCTTAATGCTTTCATTACTTCTGTCAACAACAGCTGGAGATGAAGAGTCATTTATTACTACTTCAGCTCTAGAGAAAAGAAAGTCAGGGAGAGGGAGGGAGACAGGATCTGTTAGCATCCCAATGGCACTTCTAATCACTGACTTCAGCTCTGGCTGCCGGAATTCAAACTTCATCAGAACAGCAAAATTGTAGTTATTAGCTAAACCAGAACTGAAAGCCTGTTTGTATTCTGCAACACTCAAGCAGACAGACACAAATCCTTAAATACCTGCTCGCTTCCACGAACACAGAGTGACAGCCAGGCACAGCTCTACAGAAAACACACTCTTACACACTGAGCTGCAGAAAGGCATGCACACAAAACCACACACAGGCTCTGCAAAGACAGGTTAGCAGATGGACACTTGCAGACAAGACACCCCATAGGCCCAGGGAGCCCCCAAAATTCACCAAGACATCTCCTATATGGGCAGCCAAGTTTGCTGCCCTGTTGCCTTGTGGACACACATGAGCATCCCAAAGAAGAGCCAGCTCATCTCCTGGACAGGATTAAACTCCTCATCAGAGAACTGCAACCCTCACTTCACCCAAAGGAGAAATTAATGCAGCTGAGCTGCTGGGTGCTGCTTGTGAGACTGGGCTGTGAGCATCCCGGACTGAACATGGGCAGGATGGAAATTTTTTCCCCACTTAGAACTGAGCAGGAGAATTACAGCATCCATATCACCTGCTCCAGACCCAGGAATGAGCAACAGCCAGATGCTGGAGATGACCACCAGGAGACCTCAGCTTTTAATCTCTGCTCTAAGAAGCAAATCAGCCCCAGCACTTCAGTGCCATTTAAATCAAATGGCATGAATTGAAGGAGCATCCAAATATTTGGTTCCAGCCAGCTGCCCTCCAAAGAGAATAGCCAAGCATCTCATCAAGAAGCTGCATGTGTATCTGCAGCCTCGAAAAAGCCTTCACACTTCAGAGCTCTCTGAAAAATACACAACCACAGCAGTCACTATCAGCTAAAGGGAATCTCCCTCTCCAGTGCAAAGGGCTTTTTCCAGCTGGGAAATGGTTTGTAAACCCCAAGGAGAGAGCAGAGTGAGAGATGGGGCAGAGCTGCAGCTCATGGACAACATTCAGCTCCTGGGAGTGTATCTCCAGCCCAGGGAAAGGGCTCCCCAGGACACATCGTGGCTCCCACTGTATAATGTTTCAGAAAGGCAAGGAAATGTGTTCATAAATACTGGCTGCCAGTGTCCTGGTGTGTGTTTGTAGAGTACCTCTCCAGAGGCTGCCAGCCTGTTGGATTTGTTTGCATCTTGCATTTTGCCGCATCACTCATGCCTTGCAAAGCTTACTTAGAAGGTGTCAAAAATCAAAAAGGAATCAGGGTAAACGAGAATTTTTTTAGGGGTTTGTCCATGTTTTGATCACGGGTGGTGACATCATCACAGAATGATACCACTCTTTCTGGCATGGTGTCACTAAGCTTTGCAATTGTGCCACTTGGTAATGCTGAGCTGACAGGGAATCATTGTAAAAATAACAGAGAGAGACACTGAATGAAGCTGTGATGCCACGGAATGACTCTGCAGTGGAGAGACATTTCCCGAGTGCATTGTGATAAAACCGAGTGGAGTTCTGATCCCAAACACAGTGATCTCTCTCCTAATAGCACTTAAAACTATGGAAATAGCAACTCTATCACTGACTTATTTTCACAATAAGTAACTCTCTCTCATTCTCTCAATCACCGCAACTTGCAGATCCTTGGTTATTTGCAAATGATTATTGCACCGAGATGGGGGAAGGAGGGGGAGAAACGATTAAGAAAATGCAAAGCAGAAGTGAAAAGAAACAGATACATTTGCTAAATAAGAACAGCACTATCCAGCGAAGAGGAGAAGCAGATTAATAGCTGCCTTACAGCAAAAACAAATGAACACAAAATCTAATTTACAAACCTATTAGATTTGCTATGTAAGCTGTTCACAGCTGATCTGATTGTACCTCTGCCTCCAGAACTCCTGCAAGACAAAGGAAATGCATTATTTATAAATCCAGCTCCTCTTTGCCAAGCATTGTTCAACAGTCAAGAGATCCTGCTCTGAAGGGCTCCGAGCAGAGACACTGCCGCGCCGTTCGCGTCCCACCCCAACCCGAAGGGAGATGTCCTGATGCCTCTGAAGGGCTTTTCATCCATCGTCACTGCTGCCCTACTGCAACCGTAAAATCATCCCAGCAAAAGAGCTCTGAGCCAACCCAATTAATAATACCTGTGCGATCTAACCAGCCATCAAAGACATCTGGTCTCTGCCGTCAAAGCAGCGTGCAGCCTCCAGTTGCATTAAATACATCTCTACTTCTTTTTACGAGTCAGGTGTTAGCAGTGCACAGAGAACGTCTCCTCTGTCTCCAGGCTGCCAAGAGACTTTCCATGTTCTTTTCAGGTGAGGACTGAGCTGAATGATCTGGACAGGATTCCCAACAGTGTCTTCATATGGGCTTTTAGTTGAGACCATCCAATTTATCCAGATTGATCCACCAGCATCCTGGTGACTTGTGGAGACTTCATTCTCACAGTGTACTTTACTTTCTCCCAGCTCCCAGGGGCCCAGGCCAGACCCAAGGCCCCGTTCCAGCCCTCTCTGATGCCATGAGTGCCCTGAAGCCTCCTGTCCCCACTTTTAGTGCAACCTGGCTGAAACTATAAGGGCAACTCACCACAGTCATTCACATGCTAGAGCTGAGACCTGAAGTGACAGCCTCATCACTCATGGCCTGACACCACCACACAAGGACAGGTCCTAGAACTGCCTGAGGAAGACCTGTGGGAATGGACAGCCAAAGTTTCCAGCACCTAAATGATGCTCAATGAAGAACAGATGGGAACAAGCCCTTACAGAAACCTACGCTACCCACACAACCTGTGAATCTTCACTTAAAAATAAATACATACAGGTGCTGGTCTGCACCTAGTTGACTGCAGAGCCCCTTCTTGCTTTAGCTTGCTGTTTTCAAAGGTGTCACAAAGAATGAGTTGCCCACCTTGCGATGTTCGGTGGGAGACACATTTTAACATTCATGTGCTCAATGCTCTGTTTTATTGTTTCCATTGCACAGATATCCCAAAGAACATGCTCATAAAGGGAGCCAAATTCTTTTCCAGCAGAAATATTGTTACCTGGAAATACAGGTACCTTAATGAAAATGTATCTCAGGAGAACATATTTCTATGAGTTCTGAAAAAATCCCAAATGCATTAGACATAAATGAAAAAGAAATGGAGTGCGTGAACATTTGGTGCCATTAAAAAGGATTTTCAGGCTTGTGGGATGCAACATAAATCCACTGATTAGGCTGAGCACAGCACTCAGCACCACGTAACATCAAACCCTTGGAAATGCCACTATGGTTGTCCCTTTCCTCCCTCCTGCTGGAGACCATCTATGGCCAAGTCAGAGCTGTTCCTGCGCTGCCACTCTTCCCTTTCCTTTGACAAACCTGAGAGTCAGGGAGATGTTTCATTTTTTGGTGCATCAAGGGAACAGCAGGACTAGCTCATTCCTAGAGCCTACTGCCATTTAACAAGCCTCTGCTTTAATGGTGTTCACTGCAGGGTGTGGGAGCAGACTGGATTAGTGTGCAAACCACGCATCCGCTCAGAGATGTCTCCTCTGAAGGAGCCTTCCAAATGGGATTCACACTCCTTCACACTTGCTGTAGGACAGACAAAGCTTAGGAAAAGAAATGTTTTTCCCCGAATAAATGCTGGTTCACAATCTCTGTGAAAGGAAAAATGATATAATGGAAATTACGAAGTAGAGAGGACCTGCTAGCTCCCACCTCGTCCATGTTTTGTGGCTATGGCAGGAATGATCCAAAGCATCACAACGTATTATTCAAATGCATTTATCCAGTCTGGTTTTACATGCCCCCAGCGACAGGTCTGTGCGTGTCTCCTCCTGGAATTAAGGCAGATGTTGTGGCTGGAGATGCTAGACGTGAGGAAGACAAGTTGAGAGCACATCTCCCAGCTGACTGTGTGCAGCATGGTGGGGAAGGAGACTCACTGCTGAAGACAATGTGAGCTGTGAGTATGATGCCATGGGGTGTATGGCCCTGTCCAGCCATCCTGCTCCACTCAGTCCACCAGTGGAGCCCAGCCAGGCAAGTCAGCTGCTCAAAACAGCTGCAGTTGAGCCAAGCATGGTATTTTTCAGGGTCTGACATACTTCATTACCAACACAGGCAACCAATATTACCGTACTCCTTCACTTCCCCCACCTGGGAAGAGGAAAACATTAAGAAATGGAGGCTGCTAATTAAGAAGCACATGTTGAAAAAAGAAAAAGTCAGCCCGTTTTATTATACCTTACTGACCTGGAGTTTCAAATCTCTTTGCTTCTAAAGGCAAAGACCAACCTCGATTAAAATAGCACAGATAGCATTGATTTTGAAAAGCTTTCTAGTGCTACACCGTGTTTGGATTGAATTGCCTTATTAATCTAGTTGTTATCAGTTTGATTGTATAGCCAGCTCCACAAAGTACCAACTTGCTTCCTAATCCTATTATTTTCAAAATGTTTTTCTTTGGGTTCTGTTGGGATGTTTTCCAGTGATAAGTTGTATCTATATGTGCTAATGCCATCTTCCTAACTTATGCCATTCTTTCTCATTTTTGCTTTGAGACTTTCCAGCTGAATTTCCACTATCTAAGATATTATATAGGTCAAAACATTCTGTGCTCAGATGTAAAGTGACACTGATTCATATATCAGAAGATATAAAAGAAAAAGTGTCTTATGGTTCAGGTCCAAATTTTCTTAGATGAATAATTTCTGACAAATCAGGTATGCAAAGACTCTTCTATTCACCCACTATGAATGGGCTGTTTAGGGTTTTTGCTTCTCTTTTCATCGTTTCCCGCTTCTTAAATGCTTCTCTTAATTGTTGCTAGGTACGGTTCGGTCTCGCTTCGAGCAATTTCGATACGTGAAATCAAAGCTGCTTTGACTGAACAAGTAGGTCACACAGCCTGGTTGGGCGAGCGGATCTCTAAGAACAGCCTTTGTGTGTCCATATTCTCAGGCTTACAAATTAAAAAATGTGTTTTCCATGGATATTTTACAATGCCCATCCCCAATTCCTGCCTCCCCCAGCATCTGTGGCAGACCATACACATGGGAAGTGGCCAGGAGAAACATGAACTAGCTAGAAATGTCAGCTGTACCCAACTGCACACTTCACAGATCCCAGAATGGTTTGGGTTGGAAGGGACCTTAAAGATCATCTTGTTCCAAACCCCTTGAGCTACATTTGTGGAGCCCATTCCTGGTGGAACAAAACCTCTGCCTCTTCCTGACCTTGGGCAACCCATGTCCTCTTCTCCCTCTTCCACATTAAAGGGAGATAATAGTCCCTTGGGAGATTATTAAGCAGAATTTATCCTCCTGAATTCCTCAGGAAGAGAGTTCAGAGTGCCACAATTTTTATCTGAGGGGTTCAAATGAGTTACAGCTACTAATTAGGTTTTCATAACCTGCTTTTGTGTTAAGTACATTTTATGATCCTTGTTTTACAGCTGGGACACGGGGGATGAAGTGGATTGGCCCATAACACCAAAAAATGAGTTCCACAAGCCAGGACAGGAGCAGGCACTATGGGCTTCCAGCAGACCTGTGCTCTTAAAAATGCTGTTCTTCACTTGCTGAGAGCAAGTATTGCTCTTGCTGGATAAGAGGGTAAGACACGTGACCCAGATGACCACAGGAATCAAGCTGAAAAGGTCTCACTGGACCAAAAAGCAGATGCAGCCATTAGTCTCCTAAGATGGCTGCAGACTGTACCCACAAGACAGTCTGTACCCATTTAAAAAAATTGAAATCACCAACTGTATTTCCTTTGCTTTATAAGGATTGCTCTGATGTTGTCCTCAAGACCATACTTGCTGTTTTCTATGTAAAGAGCACACAAGCATGATGCCAGTTTGGTCAGAGACCACTCTCTGACAGTGCCCTCCCAACCCACAGGCTCTCCCCATGGCAGCCAGGTGGGGAGGGGATGTGGAGCTGGATGCTCACAGCCTCTCTGCAGGATGCTCCACTGTGGCCAGACAGATCCAGGTACTGTAACTAACAGTTTTGGGGAAAAGGATACACCAGTCAGTCACTGGAAATTAAGTATATAGAAGGCTTTGTTCCTCCCAAACATCATAGAAGTTTGCTTCTGCTGATGCTCACAGTGATATGTAATTCTGTGTGTATTCACAGGTATAGCTCAGACCTTGCAGGTCTAGGATAACTGGCATCTGCACCCACCTGACTAGAGAAGGGCTTGGATGCACCCACTGCCCTGTTAAGTGAGTGAATTCATTTTGCTGACTAAGATCAGCATAGCCATTAATTTAAGCCATGTGTTGCTCCCTTAGTCCTCAAAGATGGGGCAGGATTTGCTCAGGCCAGTGCTCTGAAATGTGGATCATGATACAGGGTTTAGCCCTCCCTCCTCTCCCCTGAAATTCAGGGTTTGTGTTGAGGGCAGCAAATGCAACTCCAGGGCTTTTGGAACAAAATTGTCACATTTCCAAGTTGTCTATGAAAGAGATATAATTGGCTTCCAAGCGCCAATCTGTCCAGCCTGTCCTGCAGGGTGGACAACCAAAGGTCTCCCAGGAGTCCAAAATGAACAGGAACTGAGCCCAGAGGCTGGAAACCAGGATTCCTTGGGGATTATATTATGGCTTTCTATCTTTACTTCACGATCTGGCTGAAAAGATGGGAAAAAGCCACATTCATTGCTAAATCCCCTTGTGGGCTTCTCACTAGACACTCAAGAGGTTTATGTGGGGTTTGGGTCAAAATCCACTCGTACCCATAAAATGCTGTGCTGTCCCAGAAGAGGAAAGGCTGGTTAGCCCCACACATAAACCAACTTGCAAATTAGAAAGGAAAGCCAAAGCCAGGTGAGAAGCAATGGGATCGGAGCTGTGTTTCTGAACACTGAGATCCTGTCCTCAAAGGCTGCACTGTGTACTCTCCTAGCACTGCTCCCATTCAGGAATGCAGCTCTCGCAGGCTCCAGCATCATCTTGCCTTCCTGCATCACGTCCCATAACAAGCTGGGAGGAGCTGGGACATCTGACTCTGGCAGATCATTCCCTGTGACATTTCAGCAGTTGCTTTGGAGGCTTTCTTCCCAGGATGTGGAGGAGATTGTGATGGAGCGAAGCTGTGGATGCTGAGTAGCCCCACGTACCCACACTCTCCTGGCGAGCAAGGTTCCCTCTGCAGGGATTAATTGGGAAGACATCTCTAAAGTGTTTGTCTGCTAGGACAGAGGATCCTGTGATACATCTTGATGAGAGGTTCGAAATTGCACTTCGATGTGTTTAAAATCTCACTCGATTATATTGTCACAGCTTGGCACCCTGTCACAAACTTCCTAAATATCATGTGCTATTTCTAGTGCTCCAAGTTTCGTTCTTTCTGTCGAGTAATACGATCAGATTGGGGAGACTGTGCCTATATTATGGTTTTCAGGAGCATCCCCTGGCCCTGCTGGGGTCTCAGTGCAGCTCTGGTACATAAGCTGCAGAGGCAGTGCCTGTACAGCCAGGCTGGCAGCACAGCATCTTCCAGCAAGCCAGGGAGACTCGGTGTAAGGTGCCAGTCGATGGTCTCGCTGTTGCTCACGGCACTTGCTGTTACCCACCAGAGGAAACACAGATCTGTCATTCTCACTCAAACCAGCCTTGCTCATTTGGTCACCCCCTCCCATGCTCAAATCCCACCTCAACCACGTCACCATCCTGCAGGCTCCTTCCCAGAAACCACAACAAGGTCAGAGGTGCTCAGCATCTCTTGCCTGTCAGGTGACAATCGTGGCTCCACATCAGCTCCTGCGTAAATGTGAGCAGGGTTTGACCCTGAGATTTCTGCCTGGCTGCAAAGTCATGGTGTGGAATCATTGCAGGTGTCTGCTGAGGACACATGAGTTTGCAAAACAGACATCTATTGCTTAATGGGGAATATATCAATTAGTCTGAAACACTTACGTGACAAAAGCAGTGACAAATCAGCAGGAGTGGTGCAGCTTTCACAAGGAATGGACACGAGGCAATGGGAGGGACACCCATGGCAGCCTGTCACCAGGACACTGCTGGGGATCACTCTGCATTGGGGTAACCAAATCCCTGTGCCTGCCTTGAGCTACCTCCTCTGAAGGACCTATAAGAGGCAGGAGGATGCTCAGAGCAGCCTCATGGCTGCTGCTACCCACCAGGAAGCCAGCACTCAGAACTTCCAGGATCTGCCCCCCAGACAGCTGTGCTTTTCCTGAGCCAGAAACATCTCTTTTACACCTGTAGAGTGTCAGCTCTCACATCCACATGCATTTGCCATAATGTCAGCATGGCCTGACTCTATCACCTCATGCTGCTCTTGTTTTATCACTGCACTAAAGACAAGACACTCATATGCTCACAGGGCTCAAAAGTCACACACTTCACCTCTCCCCATCCTGCATACTGGCAGGCCCTTATTCCTCCTCTACTCTCAGGTCTTCCATTAAAACTTTATTCCTGGCATTGGCTTGGTTTCTCTGGCTGTGTTAATGAAACAGAGAGCAAAGAAAGAGACATTGAAGCAAGCAAAAAGGATCCAGTGAGGAGTTTGGGACAGGGAGGTGTGTGTGTGTATGTTTAGCTTTCCCTGTCTGGAAGGGAGAAGGGAAAAACTCTCAAAGCCCAAGGAAGACCTAGAAAGGAGCTGAGACAAGAGTCTCACTGCTTACAAAACATGTCCACACTATACATTTTTCCTGAGATAATTTTTTCTGCCAATAGAGCAGAGCTCTCAGGGAGTGCCAACAGCAAAGCATCAGTCTTGCAGCAGAGCCTGTCACCCAGAGCATCCGTGTCCCAAAAGCCAGAAATCCCAGTGGCTCCTGCAGCATCTTGGATGCCATGTACCTTGGGAAATGGGAATGGTACAGTATGAAAAGATATCTTGTCTGGGGGCTGTAGGCCCTCAGGCTCATCCTCCCACACCCATCTCTTGCCTCTTTTCCCACTGCTCTGCACAGCCCCTTGGAATACTCAGGCTCTCATGTGGTTTCTTATTCACTGTTGTTGACATGGATGCTGAGGACCTCTCCTGGGCAGTGACATCCCCCTGGGGCAGTTCCTCTGTATGACCACCCTCAAAATAACATCTGGTGCCTACACAAACAGGGCTGGGAGTGCTGGATGAGAGTTACACTCTGCAACCAGCAACAGAGCTGTCCCAGGACCTTCACAAGGACTCAGTCCCCAGATGACAATGTCGAGTTGCCAAATATTGAAAAGCTAATAGTGGTTTCAGAGCTCAATCTCCTCTCTCCTTCCCCTGCTCATAAAGCTACACCGTGGAAATCCAGGCAGCAGTAAGAAGAACTTTAATTACCAACTCAGCAGCTGCTGGTTGACAGTCGAGTGTGCTTCTGGGTGTCTGAAAAGGCGCTGGAGATCCCTCATGACAATGCTTAACCTTCTCAGGGGAAACACATCCCCTGGTGTAGCCACTGGCTGAGAGCTGAATTATAATCCTGAAGGTGCTGGTAAAGCCTGGGCTGGCAGATGACAGGTCATGGTGTGAGAACCATCCTCCAATTCAGAGCTGTCAGGCACATGGGTGATACCTGGAGCCTACTGCGATGCTGTTTGACTGAGTGGGCCTTGAGAGAGCACTTCAAAACTGTGCATGACTGTGACAAAATGTGCTCTTAAAAGCAGCCCTGCCTGTGGAGAGCACTGGATGGGGAGGGACAACATGCTCAGCATGCAGATGGCCAGCCTGGGGTGGTTTTTGTGTTTGTTTGGGACATTCTCGGTGGACTTCTGTATGCCCTAACAAGGACTTGATTTGCAGTAACAATAAGAAAGAGTCCAGCACTTAAGTTTGTCTCACCCTGCCCCATCATCACTGCTCTGTCAGGTTTCCACAGTGCTGTGCACATCTCCCTGGATCAGTCCTTTCACTTCCAAATTGGAGCCAGCACTGCTGCTGCTGATGAAGATGCATCTCTCAAGGCCACCACCACCAAGGCTGCTGCACAGCCAAGACAAGGATTTACAGTGGGAACACAAAGGAGAAGGAGCTGTAAAGATACTCTTTCTTTCCTTCTTTTTTTTTTCTATCGCATTGCAAGGGGCCAGTCTGACACCAGCTGTTCTGCCATGGTGTTTGCTGAAGGACACCTAAAACTCTGCATCTACAGTGAATTCACTGTGCCAGGAAATGTCCTTGTATCCAGAGGCAACTGGGGATGGAAACCAGAGAAATGGCAAAATAATTACTGCCTGATTTTATAGTCTGGGCTTATTTTTTGCTGCTGAGGATGACCCAGACCTAGGGAAAACAAATGATGGAGGCAATTAGAAGTCTGTTTTGGAACAACTGTTTTTTATAGCAGCTGTGCCTGTGGATGTATGTAAGCAGTGCTGTTCTCAGGGATGAAAAGGCAAACTACCTGTAGAATCATAGAATTATAGACTCAAATAGGTTAAAAAGACCTGTAAGATCATTAAGTCCAAGCATTAACACAACACTGCCAAGTCCAGCACAAAACCATGTCCCTAAGTGTCACATTTGCATGTCATTTAAACCCCTCCAGGGATGGAGACTCCACCACTTCCCTGAGCAGCCTGTTACAATGCTTGTCAGTCCTTTCAGTGAAGAAATTTTTCCTAATATCCCATCTAAACTTCCCTTGGTGCAACTTTAGGCCATTTCCTCTTGTCTTATCATTAGGACAGCCTGAAAGCCCAAGGAAAGATAAAGCAGCTCTTGTTAAACCCTTTTCTGGAAGATCAAAAGCACATCTGTCATGCAAGAGAAAACTGACCCTTCAGTTCACCCATGTTTAGGAAAGGCTGGGAGGGCTCACAGCAGCAGTGGGATCTGCTGTGTCACTGCTGGCTCTGGTCCCAGGGCTTCGCTCTCTGCCCACGAGCACAGCACTAGCACAGAGGAGCAGACACCGCACTCTGACGGCTGAATCACTTAACCTCACCGTTAGCTGCTCAACAAGCCTTTGCTAAATGAACCAACATTTGCAACTCCTTGTTCTCTGCAGGGAGAGAAAGGTTTCCTTGGCTTTCCAGACCAAAAATGTGCACTAGCAGGGTTAGAGATGAGAAATAAAAAGCTGACCTGGCAAAAGGGACACTTGAAGCACTTCTGGGAACTGCTTTGCCTTCTTCATTGCTCTGGTCACATGAACTGGTTTGGCTTCAACTACTCTGCACTCAAGAAGGGCTCCCACCACAGCTACTGCCTTCCTCACCAGCAAGCTCAGAAATTCCTTCCTTAGGGGTCTCACAAGCTGCTGACAATCAGAACTGGACTGAAGAGTAACTTTTCACCAACCGTACTGGAAATCTCCTAGAGGGACTAGCTATATTTCCAGCACTAGGTTTTCTTTCTGTTCCACTGGCTTGCTTGGGGGTCTGCTAGGGCTTCCTATCCTGGTGCTCCCAGCCCTTCTGCTGGCCACCGATTCCCTGCAGGTACCATGCTCCCTCCATTCCCTTGGAGCTCAGCTTAAGGAAACAAGCTATGGAAATTCATCTCCTTCAGCATGCAGTAGACAGGAACACAGAGGTTTGGATATGTCTCTGTGGCAGCCCCTCCTGTCAATGGATGCCTGCAGGAGATGAGGGAGTGCTTCATGGGGAGGAAGGGGAGCTCTGCAGCCAACCTGAAATCGGCTGCTTGTGCTCAGGTTATTGTCAGAAGAGCTGCATTCAAAGCCTACCCTAAGTATTTTCTTACTCAAATCACTGCTCCAACACTGCTTTTATTTTCCAGCCCAATGTGTCACGGGGCTTTTATTAGAGCTCTGCCAAACTCAATGACTACAAAGGTCTCCTTTGGCACGGTTCACATGAATGGTTCCAGGGTGTCTGTGGGCTTCTGTCCTGCTGAGAGCTATTCCTTCTCCAGCCCAACCTGCATAATTGTTGGCTCGTGCACACCCGTTGTGTGAGCACACAAAAGTGTATATTGGGAGAATACAGCACTTTTCCCAGCAAAACTTCCTGGTGGAGAGCAGGTCTTAGACTAACTCTGTGTTAGGTGCAGTAAATCACAGCCTGAAAGACCTAAGCAGGGCATTTATACCCCATGGACCAACCTTGACAAGAAGCATTACGACTAGAGCCCACTACAGACCACTCAGAGCAAGCACATCAGCCACCATAAAGGACACAAAATCTCTCTTCCTGAGCCTTTGAAAGGCAGGCGTTAGAAAAGGGCACATGAGAAAAAAGTGGCAATTTACTGACAAGCTTCCAGGCAGGCCAGCAATATCAGAGAATCCAATTCATCACTTAGAGGGAGCAGAATATAATTCCTCTTGTAATCAGGATGGAAAGGCATGTGGACTGGGCTAGCAGGGAAAAGGTTGCCTCGTATTAAGACCAACCCATTACCAAGTGTCAAGTGCTCCCTAAGATGGCTCAGACGCTAATTCGAGAAGTCACCTGGTGGCAGCAGGTCACCAGCTCCCTCTACAGACAATCAGGACACAGCCGGACCCCTGCAGAACTGCTACGGCAGGCACAGGATAACAAAGAGTGCCCTTAAACCGGAGCCGAATTTTCCTCCTCATCACTGGCAATAATCATCCCACTCGATGCCGAGTCCTTTGTCTCCTCCACGGCGAGAGGTCCGTCCCGTTCCCTGTATCCCGGGGTGGATGAAGAAACGGCTGCGGCCGCATCAGCGCTCCCCAAGACAGGCGTGGAGTGTCTTTTGTTTCCTTGCAGGGAAACAAAGAGCCGGAGCGATGGATGGAAACAGAGGCGCCACCGGGCTGCAGGAAAAGTTCAGCAGCGCGGAACCAGGTGGCTGTTCGGAAAAAAGTGTCAAGATCGTTCACAGCAGCGACAGTTCCCGGGGCAGCGCTGGCCAAGGCGAGCGGGACCCTGCGGCACCGCAGGCACCGGACTCACCCCACGCGTCCACAGGGACACGGGTACACAGCCACAGGGACGTGGCAGGAGGAAAACCCAACCGCTGCGGGTGGGAGCAACGGGCTAACACAGCGCCAGGAGCGAGGAACTGCTGGATTTTCATCCCTGCCCCGACACCTCTTTGTTTCAGCATCTCCTGGCTGGTGTGAGTATCTAGATGAGTGAGATGGGACTGCTTAAGGAGCAAACATCTTCCTCAGAAGCCTCTGGCAGTCAAAGCAGCTTCAGCCACCCTCACTCCTACCTGCGCTCAGCTGCGATGCTGGGAACTTACTGTCCAGGAGAACAGCATGGGGTTATTTTTTTTTGTCCTTTTACCAGTAATATCATATTCTTACTTTGGACCTAATGATCATTTTGTGCTTTTTTTCTGCAATTTCTCAGTATTTGTAGGTGAGAGAAATCTGTTCCCCCCTGCTCCTACCCCTGTGAGGTGCATTCTTCCAAAAACAATCAAATCACAAGCAGGGGGCAGGGTATGTGTAAAAGTGGGCAATCTGTTCACTCCTCACAATAATTAGAGAGTGTTTCCATGCCAAGGAAAAAGAAGAAAAGAGTTGCACCTGCCTGCATTTCCCAGCCCCACTCAGTGCCTGCCAGGGGACATCTGGCCAGCTCCTTCCTTCCCTTACTGCTGTGCTGAGGGTGGTCTGTGGGGGTGTGAAGGAGGATGCTGAGCCACATGATTCATCAGCCAAATATTCCTGACCTGGGGGAGAGCTGCATAAATATACAGTACCTCCCAAACCTCTCACAGAGAGGAGCCGTTCCCTCCTGGTCACAGAGAGCTCCTCAAAAACTTTGGCAGGGTCTCTTCTCTACACTGTTGTGCACTTTTGCTGTCACACTGTCCTCTTTACCTACAGGACCTGTTGACAAAAAATGCTATTGTGTAGCCCCCAAATATGAACACCCTCTATCATCCCCTGACCAGCTGCAGATCAGGCACTCTGCCTTTCCATGTCTCCCCAGCAATACACTTCAGCCAGGTCAGAGCATTGTGTTCACCATTCCTGGCACCATGGCAGCACATAGGAGTGAAGTGCTCTTTGTGCCAGGCTCCTGTGCTAAGAGCTTATGGTGTAAGGTGAGCAGTGTTTGGTGCTGTGCTGTGTTTGGGATGCAGGAGCTCATCAAACCCAAACCACTCTAGAGATGCAATGGGGAAAAGAAGTGGGTGGGAGAATGCAAAGCAGGAGAATGGG